AATCTAAACCAAGTTCTGCACACTGGGCACCTGAGTCTCATTTTTCTGTTGCTCTTTTCACCAGGGAGGGAAGAGGAGGCCAAGAGTTTAAACCCAAATTTCCTGAGTGGGAAAGCTGGAACCTATTTAAATAATAGTTGCGATCTCGTGGAACAAAAATAGCTTCTACATGTTCCCCTGTGCAGATTTAGGACACTAAGTGATCACCTAGAAATGAAAAATAAACACTTAACTCCCATCAAACATAATTAGCCAATATTTCAGCCTGGTACAATAGCTCCATCCAGGTATTGGTGTGTATCTGCACTCAAAATAAGCCAAACACGCCTATCAACCACCAAACAGCAGCAGGAAACACTCTTTTTCCACTTAAACAGTCTCTCAGATCAAAGTCATTAGCAAAATGAACATGGACTTCAGGGCACATGGAAATGGCATCAGTGTAAACACCTCCCTGCTGGCTTTAGTCCTGTGCCCCATCCCCCAGATCCCAAGTGGGCATTGCTGAAGTCGCTGATACCTCATGCAGGAAAACAAGGGCAGCTCCTTGCTCTGCTCGAGGTGTCAGTGACGTCAGCTCCGGAGCAAGGAAAAGTTGTAGCAAACGCTTGGATCTCCAAGGGGGAAAAAAAGTTTCCAGGTCACCTCTAGCTGAAAAGTGTAACAAAGGAATCATTCTGGTCTTGAGCAGGGATTTTTGGGTTGCTGCCAGGAAGAGAAGGAAATGAGCCCAGAATGTATTCTGAGGAGGGGCAAGATGTGCAAAGCTCTACTGGATATCCTGAGATTTCAGAGGGCTCTCCAGGCAACCAGGGCTTAGTTCAGGAAGCAGCTCCTGCTGCAGCTCCCTGCAAACAGAGCAATACTGACACCTGGGCTGGACCCTCCTACCTGAACACAACTTCTCCTGCCAGAGCAGCTCCAAGCCAAAAATCACAGCTTGAGCAGTAAGATGCAGTGTAAATAACCTCTGACTGGAATAATTACTTTATTTTCCACGTGGGAAAGAGATCCAGAGGAGCAGATTTAACTAGTTCATGCAATAGGCAGCATAACCAGGATTAGGGTACCTGAAGTACCACTGATCCTAATCCCAAGGACATCTCTACTCTTCCCCTGCTCCCTGCCAGCTCCAGCACTCCAGATCCTGTTCTATCATCACTTCCCACACATCCTCAGGTTCTGCAAACCATCTCAACAACGTCAGTCAGTCGGGCCTCAAATGCTGCAGGTAGGGCAGAGGAAGGTAGGACCGCCCCCTCTCAGTGGTGATGAAAGGCCAGGCTTACATGTGCAGTAAAAATGTGGATAAATAACCCCTCCCTGGTCATAATGTAAGAGCTCTGGCAAGGAATGGGGCAGCATTGCTTAATTTTGGTTTTTTGAGCACAAGTGCAAAAAAAAAAAGAAGAAATGAGGATAATGATAGAAAAATACCAGCAGGGTACCACAACATCTTCATTAGCAACCTGAGAGAAGATGCAAACAGCAGGGAAATTAAATCTGCAGACAGTGCTAAACAGGAAATGGGTGACAGCAGTGAAAGGTCTGAGAAGTAATGGGAGAGTCATAGTGGGGACAGACCACAAAACCATGGAATCACAGACTGGATTAAATTGGGAAGGACCATAAAACTCATCTCATCTCACAGGGAACAATTCCTTCCCAATATCCCATTTAACCCAGCCCTCTGGAAGTGGGAAGCCATTTCCCCATGTCCTGGAACTCCTTGTCCCAAGTCTCTCTCCAGCTCTCCTGGAGCCCCTTTAGGCACTCGAGGGGACTCTAAGGCCTCCTCAGAGCCTTCTCTTGTCCAGACTGAACACCCCCAGGACAAAAAAAAAAAAGAGACCTAAGACCAGGAAGAGTCTCCCTTGCCTATGGGAACAAATAGTCACAAGAGTCAAACCAAGCTTCTGAGGCTGCCAAAAAACACTGGATCACCATCAACACACCATGAGCAAGCCAGGAACTATTTAATTCTTGCAGGTTGGTATAACCTGCAAGCAAGGCTTGCCCTACACTTGTGAAATGATTTCTTCTGGAACATGCAGGAGCCTCAAACAGGAGGTGGTGAGGAGGAGAGGTGTGAGTCAAAGCACAGCGCCTGGAAAAGCTCCACGAGAGCTCAGTTCCCAAGAGGTCTCTGCTCTGCGTCACCTCCCCTTGCCTGCTCACACATTCCTTGAAAATACCCAGTGTTTCTGCACGCCTTTAGTGGTGAAAAAGCATAATATTCCTTGCCTTTCTCCCTGAGCTACAAGGAATCTTTGCACACCAGGAAATGGCTGGATCACACTGCTGATGCTTCTGATGAACTCGGGCTGAAACACCCACATGAGCAACAGGAACTTCTTACTCCCAGCGAGACCCAAGTCAGATTTCTGAGCTGGTGCTGCACACTTTGTCATCTTGCTGACATTTGCAATTAAATTCAGCTCAGCTTCCTTCAGATGCACTTGCATCTCCTGAGAGCCCAAAAAACCAGACATTTCCTCACAAGTAACTGCAGAAAGGCTTACATCTCTGCATTTTAGCTCACAAGTGAGGGAAATTACCGCTGCCTAAAGGAATCCTGGGAAAAAACAGACAAAATCACCATAAAAAGGCAGGAAATTAAAAATTATAAGTAGTTCGCAACACAGGAGCAGCAAAAAGCCAGAGAAATGAAACCCAGGAAATGCCACAACATTGAGGAGAAAGGGAAATCTGTCATTAATAGGTTGGATAATGGTGCTCCTGGAATACACTGCTCTGCCTCCAGTGCCTCTGCAGCCAACAAAATGGGAGGGATTTTCAGAGAATGTGGCTAATTGTGAAGGTCCTCCATGGGAAGATTAAAGCTAGTTACCTATAGCACAATTCCCAGATTGGAAATGCTATCACAGCCATTCTACCAATGCCTGAAGAACACATCCACAAAAGACGAGGAGGGATTGTGACGAACAGGACAGTACTTGTAAGAGACCAAGAGCTATTTTTCCACCACTGTTACAGACAGGAGGAGATGGACAGGAATCTCCACTGAAGCCCAAATTGCAAATTAGTGGATGCTACAAAAGAAAATCCCTACACTGGCCTCAGTGCCCCTTCCTCTCTCTCTCCCAAGGCTTGTTCCCGTACAAAGCCAAATACTCCTGTAGGTTTCATGGTATTCCAGTCCCAAAGCTCCCTCTGCTGCTCACACTCTAACTTCTCTGCCTTCCTCCTGTGATTAAGAGACACAACCTCATCAGAAAGACACTCCCTGTCTTTCCAGGCATGTCTCCCAGGTAAAAACCTCACAGGGTTCGGGAAAGCCAGAGGAGCACTTCCTGAAAAACAGCCCCAACTCCTGCTGCCTCTCCAGCTCTTCACAGTACGATCATCCTGGTGGATTCCTTCCCAAGGAACCCATCTATTCCACCTCACAAGATGGTTATGGTTCACTATCAAGTCCTGCATGGTTTGGTGATTCCCTCCAGACCAAACCTGATGTGCACAAGGGGCAGTGGAGAGAGCAGGGATGAAATGGCATCAGGAAACAGCCATGCTGTGCTTGGTGCTAAGTGCAGGTTTTGTAAGTCCATAAAATGCACCCCAAGGAAAGCTCCTGCTCCAGATTTTGGACATGCAGTCAGTCACAGCATCAGACTTAGGTCTCAGGTCTCTAGTCCAACCTCCTAATCAAAGCAGGGTGAACACTGACTTCAGGTGATGCTGCCCATGGCTTTATCCTCTTGGGTCTTGAAAATCCTCCCAGATGAAGACTCTTCAACCCCTTGGGCAATGCCTGCCCCACTGGCAGGGCCATCCTTATGGTAATTTGTTTCCTTAAGCCACATTGAACCCTCCCCTCTCAATTTATGACCCTCCTGCCGTGTAAATTAGCACAGAGCCTGACTCTGTCTCCCAATAATCTCCTTGCAGGAAGTGGAAGATCTGTCTCCTGCCTCTCCTCACAGGGCTCCAAGCCCCTAACCACCCTTGTGGTCTCTTGGGATTTGCTCCAGTTTATCAACAATTTTATGGTGACTCAAGTATTCCAGATGTGGTTTAATCAATGCAAAGAGGAATAATACTTCTACTGGTTATGACTCCTTTGGGATTCGTGCCTACTCCAGGACAGCAGGTTAATAGATAATCTCCACTCTATCTATTGGATCCAAGAAGGTTGTCAGGTTAATCAAGCATGAGTTTATTCTTAGGTAAATCCACACTGGCTGTTCCTAATGTCCTCTTCCTCCATGTGCCCAAAACTGGTTTCCAAGAGCAATCTCTCTAGAGGTTCCCAGAGACCAAGGTGAAGCTGACTGGTTCAAGTATCCAGATCATCCTACCTTCCCTTTCTAACCACAGGTGCAACAGTTACAAAGAGTCCTTTCCTGGTTTCCATAACCATCCCAAGCTAAGAGTGGCCTCACAAGGCCACCTGACAATGCTCTCAGCATATCTGGACACACATCATCACCACCCATGGATATTTATGGGTTGAGATTTCTCAAAAGATTCCTGATTCCAGACTTGCTTCACTACAGGTAGTCCTGTGGCTCTCCTGATCATCCTCCCTGGTGGGAAAGAGCTCACCTCTTTCCATGGCTCCATCCCAGGTCACTCAACCCCAGACAAGGCACAACACTCACCAGCTAGGCCAGTGTGACATCACCAGTGAGGCCACTGTGACCTCCAGCTCCTGTAAGAAGCACCAGGCAGATCCAGCAGCTACAGACCATGATCCCTCTGCACAGGCCAAGCCTCTCTCTCCTACACTAGGGCACTCAGTGCTGCTGGCACCACAGGGACAAAGTCCCATGGCACAGCACCCCCACTGCAGCAGAGCTGTCCACGTCTCCATGCTGTTCTGAGTTGCCAGGCCCTCTCATGTCCTCTGACACATAAACCCCAGCAATAACTTCAATACAATCTAAAATTTCCACTCAATGTCTTCTCCAAAGCAAGTTCCACTACTTTAAAAACCTGCTGGTTAATGTAAGCATGGAAAGGTTCATTTCTGTACTCACCTGCTCCTGAAATTGCTCTTGTGATAAACAATCAGTCACATCCACACAGCCCAGGAGGCATCCTGAGGGATAATCATTTGGAAATTCCACATCTGCAGCAAAAGAAACATCTCTTCAGGGAGCCCATATTCCCACACGCAGCAGGGGTCTTACAATCCCCAAGTGCCCTTCCCTCTCCTCCAGGCATCTCTACCTTTTGAGGCACAAGAACACATATAGCAATTCTAACACTTTTTTTGTGCCTTTTCCAGGTCAGAATCTTCCCCATGAAGGACTAGGGTTCGGAAATTTAATTTTATATGTAGTTTTCCCTGCTCAGCAGAGAGGATTTCTGACATTGCTCATTACATGGCTCAACAAACCAAATCACTGCAAGAACCAAGGAGAGGAGTTCACCTTTCTGGAGTAGCATTCTGTAGCTGGCCTCCAGTTCAGAGATTTCCTGAGGGGAAGGTCTTTTAGCAGTAGCTGCAATCCATAACCTCCCTCGATGAGATGTGTACCAGGTCCTGCCCTCCACCCTAAAGAACAGAGGGAAACGTAGGACTAAAACTTCAGCAGAAATCACCCACATGGACAGATTTTTCATTCAAACATAGACAATTCCTGCTGCTAAGCTTTGCCCTGATTATCCCAACTCAAGCAATGTGTCAGAACCACAAAGAAAAGCTGAGATAGGCAAAAAATAATGTCACAAACAAAGCAGAGTGTGTCCTCAGGGCTTTAGAGGACATCAATCCCCAGCAGGGCCAGCAGAACACATATACAGGACACTCTGCTCACAGAAGTCCCTTACAAGTTCCCAAAGTCACACAGAACAATCAAGGGAGCAATAAGGAACTAGGTCTCTGCATGGAAAAGTTGTCTGGAGATCCTGGAATTCTGCAGCTATACCAAAGTGGCTGGAGCATCCCCAGAACACCTGGATGAAGAATCCAGGCACATTAGGATTTACAGCATCTTTGGCTTGGGAAGTGAAAAAGCTTTGGTCTCCAAAATGAGAAATGTGGTGAAGGGAAAAAAAGGCTAAAGAAGATTCTTTGTTCAGTATTAACAGTAGCAGCTTCTTTTTGTAATACAAGTCCCAGCCCAGTGGAGGAAGGTAGTGGCAGGTGTTGGGTTTCTTTTAAACAAGGCCTAGTGCCACTGTTGCCTTCTTTATGCTGAACAAAAGCCCAGAAGAACATATTTCAAGTGATTATCTTATCTGCTTTTCAAATTCCACATAGGAACGTCCCAACTATAGCAGTGAAATCTCAGCCTCTCTCTACATTCACCCACTGTGAAGAAACGTGTCCCTTACAGGTTAGGTACTATCCCATTGAAAAAGGTTCTCCAGCTCCTCAACCCATCAACCCACTGGAAGAGGAAGCACAGCTTCCACACCTGGAGCTATCACAGGTATCAGTCATTGCACAGAGCCAGTGGGTCCACAGAGATCCTCTGAGAAACACAACTTCCCACTTCCCCTGTGGAGCAAGAGCTGCCTGGGGTACCTTCACCTTTTGATTCCTCTCACAAGCAAGGAAGCCCAAGGTTGGTGCAGGCTGAGGCACCAACCATCATCCGAGATCTCCTGCAGCTCTCGGTCCTGAATCCGCAGCCTGTTCCGCTCCAAGCCAGACTCACTTCCAGCCTTCACACAATGAATAGTTTTCCTTTGTGGGAGCAAACCAGTTTGGTCCACCCACTTGAGAGCGTTCAAAAGAAACAGGGAAAAGGTTAGCACCTCTCCAGGAGTAATGTGTATCAAGTGAAAATCCTATTTGAAATTTTCCTTCATTATCCTTATGCCCTTTGTAAAATGGGAATCTGGCAGAAAAGGCTTCATGAAATAGAGATGAAAGGGTGACATGGCCTTAGGCTGACTCTCAGAAACTCTTCTGCATTCCTGAAAAGAAGGCAGGATGCTAAAACTACAGTAAACCAACCCACTGGGAGCAGGGCATTGTCAAACCTTCTCTATCCCAAACTGAGATGGCCAGTGAGGGACACAGGGGAGGAAAGAAAGGGTGAGAAACAAGGGGAAACAGGGGGAATGGCTTCCCACTGACAGAGGGCAGGGTTAGATTAGATATTAAGGAGAAATTCTTTACTGTGAGAGTTGTGAGATGCTGAAGCAGGCTGTCTAGAGAAGTCACCCCATATCTGAAAGTATTCTTGGCCACATCGGGCAGGGCAGCCTGGACTAGTGAAAGATGCCCCTGCCCATGGCAGGGGATGGAATGAGACAGTCTTTAAGTCCCTTTCAACTCAAACTATCCTGTGATCTTTTGTAGTTCTACAGACAATTTTCAAGCTCAACTCTCCCAAAATTAGTCACTACTCTGGAATAAACCACTGAAGCCCCACTGACCAAAGGAGCAGGCTGGAGGAGACGTGGATTCACCAAAACTCCAGAGTTTGGTGTCATCTCTGCCCCAGGGCTCCTGGCTGGTTTACTCAGTGCACCACAGCTCATGGCCTCAATGGTCTCATCCAGTCTGCAAGCACAAATGAGAAGAATGAACATTCCCTGCTTCCCCTGGGGACATCTCCCTTCTCTGTACACACTCCGACTCCAAGCATTTTTTGCCCCATTCCCCCCATCAGATTTCCTTGCTTGGTCTGATTTCCAATTTGAGCAGTCACTGCTCTCTAGTGCAGAAACTCAGCTTGGTGTGAATTTGAGCTGAATTGGTTCTGTTGAGACTTCTGCAACACCTCTTTCCCAGGCAGCTTTAATAAGCATGTCAGACCACTCTCCGTATGGATTTGCACATCCTTGCTCTCGGGCACGCTGCCAGCCCTCACTCACTTGCTGTGGTACTCAGCCATGCTGTTGTCTTCCTCCAAGATCTGCCTGCCAGCAAAGTCGATGGTGATTTTCTTGGCAAGCCGAGAGGCATGGCGCAGCTCCTGCAGCTCCTGCTCCCTCTTCTGGAGTGCTTCCCTTTCCTGCTTGGAGAGCCATTGGTTGGAGTCCGTGGCAAAGTAATCCAACTCATCATCAATGACTTGGGTCCGACGCACGCTGGGAAAGCAACCCCCACAGGAGAAAATGAGCACAGTGGGACCATGACAGAGCCTCAAACCCACCCTCCAACCTGCTCCTTCCCCATTTCTCTGGAGAGCTGGACTGTCAGGGACAAAAGAGCAAGGATACCCAAAGGGGATCCATTCCAGAGACTCACTTGTGTCCCACTAAATGCCATAGTAAAGGTGTCTGTGGCTGCAGTCTGGGTTTTAGGAGGAATTCCCAATGTTTCTGCTAAAGGCACCTCACCTGCCAGGTCATTTATGCTATTCATGACAGTCTCCCAGTCTCTAGTATCTTACCTTGTCCTATCAAATTCCAACAGCTTGTCTTTGTGCTTCACAGCCATCTCCAGGCCTGATTTCAGTTTCGCTTCCTGGTGAGGCAGCAAGCCTTTGCTTACGTCATCCAAATTCCCTGAACTTTCAGCACCTGGGACACAAAACAAAGCTCAGTAGTCAGGGTGTTAAAGCCATTTGGGTGGGCCAGGCTGCAGAAATGCACCCTAAACTAAATGCCATGCCAGGAGCTAAAAGTACAGCCTTGCAGCAAGATCAGCATCTTTCCGAGGAGGCTGAAGCCACAATTTTCACTCAAGCCCATTCCTCCGAAGAGGAGGAATCACTTAAATATCACAGTGATAAAGTCTGGGTAGAATTTAGGGAGAAGCTCTTGGTCTTTGGTTCTCCTTCACCCTTCCATAACAATTCAGGCAGTCAAAATTCCTCCCATCACCAACCACGGGCCTTGGATCATAGAATCATGGAATGCTTTGGGCTGAAAAGGATATTAAAGCTCATCTCATTCCACTCCCCACCACGGTGGAACACCTTCCACTATCCCAGGGTGCTCCAAGCCTCATCCAACCTGACCTGGAACACTTCCAGGAATAGAACAGCCACAGCTTCTTTGGGAAACCTGTGCCAGAGCCTCACCACTCTCACAGAGAAGAATTTCTTCCCAATATCTTATCTAAATTTATCATATTTTAGTATAAAACCATTCCTTCTTGTCCTATCACTATCTGCCCATTTAAGTAGTCCCTCTGCCTCCTTTCTCGAAGCCCCTCTAGGCACTGGGAGGGGCTCTAAGGCCTGGAGGCTTTTCTTCTTCAGCAACAGCCCCAGCTTTTTAGGAGTTCCTTCCTAAATGCCAAACCCTTCCCACAGGTTGTTACCCCCACAAAGAGCCTCTTGCCCAGGACATATTCCAGGAAGACCCAGAGCCTTCTGCTTCTGTTTGTGCCTCCCACAAACAATATCCTATTCTGACACACCACACCATATTCCCCAAACCAGCTGTTTCCAGAGATGGAGAAATCTATTCCCAGCAAATACTTTTCCTTCTTAGCCCTCCTGGCTCCGGGCCCAAACTCAACCAACCATCAGGGAACAACCAAAAAACCCCCACAAAAGGTTTGAACCCAAGCCATGATGGCACAAACCAGTGTATTTCACCACACTGGGAAATGCCCTCATTTCAGGGAAACAATTGCCTATATTTCCCTTTGGTTGCTGATCCACAATTTTTACTCCCAAGACAAACAGCAAACCACATTTACCTACACAGATAACAAAACAAGAGCTGGCAGGGGCAGGAGGGAAAAAGAGATGAAACAGGTAAGAAAAGGGATCCTGAAGTACACCAGCACCTGAAGTACACCTGTTCTGGAAGGATAGAACAGACTGGCTGGTGCTTTCAAGGACTTCCATCCTCCTGCCATCTCCACAGCTCTAAGGAGAAGCCCAGATCTGGAGGAAATATTTCCCCAGCTCTTCAGCAAAGTGTAATTTCCAGCCAAGAATATCATGACCTCAGCAGCAGTTCAGCTAAACTCAGACAAACATTCCCACAATGCACAAGTCTTTGCTGGGACACTGGGTAGTATTTCCTCTTGCTTTCCTTGGCTCTGCTCCTATTTTTAACTCCCAAGGTAAGTGTGAGACAAGAAGAGCCATTAGAAAATATTAACCACCACCTCTCTAAGCCCAGCAAATCAGACAGCAGCACTTCATCTTCCACAGCACACATTCCACAGGAGACTTATCCTAATTTTCAAGGACTGCTACAATGATCCAGTTCATGTGATTGATTCTGGAATGCAAATGAGCAGCCTTGGGGCCTCAGGGAAAGGACACCACGTGCCACTCGCCACTGTTACCTCTGCTGAAGCCTGGGAATGCTGAATCCAAGGAACTAACCTCCAATCCATCCCTTTAATGGCTATCACAGACAAAGGGCAGCAATGAGGGCAAGTGGCTCAGTGAAGTCTGAAGGAAATAAAGCACACAAACCATTTGGATTCATTCTGTTCCAGGTATGGAATAGCTACTGACCTGCCATGAGCTTCTTCAGCAGCTTATGGCTCTTGTTGGAGTCCCGCTGAAGAATGTCCTGCTCTTCTTTAGTGCACACCTGAGGAAAAGAAGGAAATGAAGGTTTAGGAAGGACATCACAGGGGAAGGATGTCACAGCTTGACCAGTTTCAGAGCCCTGGACAACATTTCAGGCTGTTTAAAGTGGCAGTGACAATCCACACCTCCTTCTTTTCCCCACTGACATGGGGAGAACCCTGGAAGCTTGTTCATTACTAAAAGAGAAACGTAGAGTTTGATCTCTCCCTGTTCTGTGGGTGGACACGTTGCTGACTGAGCTCAAAAAACAAGAGATGAGCTCAGAACCATCCCAGGCAGAAACAACAACCCTTAACTCGGAGTTTTTCTCTCCTTCTTGGCCACTGGGAGTTAAACTGATCTTTCAAAATAGCAACCAACCTGCTTGAAAACATTTTGCTCTACCCAACTAATATTTTCCTCTCACATGAAGAAGAATTTCCTCTGCTATCAATCACTTATCCCCTTCCTCCAAAACATGCCCTTTGAAATGAATCCGGATGTTAACAGGTATCCCAAAGGATCCTTATTGTGCAAGAGTGGAAGGAAAAGTAGGACACTGCTCCTGACAAGGTGACCAGGGATGTGCCTGGGATGGGGCTGAAGCTCTGCAGGGATTTTAGACACTGGTGTGACACACAGGAAACTGTCAGAAACCAGACAACCTCCAAAGCCACGTAAATTATGGGGGAAACCTCCAACAGGTTCTTTCCTTCCCTGCTTGAGAACTCTGCAACAGGAACTTCTATCTAAAGGGCTAATTCAGCCAACTTCTCCAGGTCCAGATGGGGCAGTCACTCCCTGGTTACTCACCAGGGCCCCGCAGAATAGGCAAAGCCCAGAGCCTTCCTGCTCACAGACAATGCGCCCACACTCCAGGCAGTTGTTGATGAGCTTGTGCTTCTGGCCCAGGCACTCGCAGGCGTGGCGGCCCGGGAGGAGCACGGCCAGCCTGTCCTGCCCCTCCCTTGTGTACAGGCTGACATACTTGGGCTTCTTCTTAGAGGAAATGCTACTGTTGCTGACTCCAATGCTGCTCTCCTGGGCCTGGGAAGGAAAAAAGTAAACAAACAAACTGTGCTTCTGGCACTGGCAGCAGAGAGCGAGCACTGACCCCTGGGCAGACCAGGAGGCTCACACAAGCGTTATTCTGCCTCACTGGAATGAAACTTGGACCAGACCCCAGACTGAGGGGAAAGACAAGCTCAGGCCTGCCAGAAAAGCTCGAAGGAATCCAAACAAAGCTAGTACATCAGGATGCACTCGAAGTTTGCCACCCATGCCAGCTGGAGCTGCTGGGATTTGGGCAGCAAGAGCTGCTTTCTGTGCTCCACACAGCCTCACTCTTGTTTAACAACTCCAAGCAGCAGCTCAGCTACTCCCAAGTTCATTTCCAAGTATTATTTAGACTCTCTGTTTGTAGCTGTGCACCCTGACTGTGCTTGTACCCAGACACAGCTGGTGGTGGCAGCAGGGCTGCTGCATTCACAGCCATGTCATCTCCCAGCAGCTTCCCCAAATCCCACCTGACACAGCCACCTCAGCAGGAGGGTTCAAGTACTGAGCTGTAAAATAAATTCTGCTCCTCATTCTACAATCTGGCCTCAGTCATTTAATGATTCACCTTTGAGTTTCAATCTGGTTTACTGACAAGCAGATGCAGTAAAGTCCAACTGGTTTTAGTGCCACTGCCAGATTCAAACACTGCCACCAAGATAAAGTGACTTTGGCAGATCTTTCTCATTTGGTTTTTTATATTTTAATTAAGTTAGAATATAACTACAAGGAAATGGAATATCACTGTCCACTTTCAACCCACCAGTTCAAAAATGTTGTGTTTTATCCTATAAACACTTTTACCAACACTTTCAGCTTTTGCAGCCTCCCTGCTCTAAAAAGTTCCATTTGAAAACATGAATTCAAGTTCCACTCCTTACTCAGAAATAGCAGCATTTCTCGAGTTTTAGTGTTTCTATGCTCTTATTCCACAGTTTCTTTCTGAAGTATTTCAGTTGCTAATTAAAGCTTTAGTCAGTGTGACTGAGATAGTTTAAATACAGCAGGAAAGGATTTTCTAACCATTTGGTGGCTTAAATTCCCCACCCTCATATCTGATTTAAAGAAATCCATTTTATTCCTAATTACAGCCTCACTTCCTTCACTTGCTCTCTCTTCTCAGGCTTTCTGGGGGAGAAAAATCCATGCTGGCATATATGCTACCTGATGATTATTTTACTCCCAGTTATAGACACAAACAGACGTAACCTTTCTCCCCAGCCTGGGTATCATAGAAACATCGAAATGGTTAGGTTGGAAAAGCCCTCCTAGATCACAGAGACCCATCATTAATTCTCCCTCCTTTCCTCTCTCTCATCCTCCCTCCTTTTCCCTCTTCCTCCTTCCCTTCTCTCCTTCCTCTCTCTACCCGCCTTCCTCCCTCCCCATGTGCCACATCCACATATTTTTTTAATCCTTCCAAGGATGGTGACTCCACCACTGTCCTAGACAGTGCATTCCAGTATCTGACCATCATTTCCATGAATTTTTTTTCCCTCATATCCAACCTAAACCTCCCCTGGCACAGCTTGAGGCCACTTCCTCTCATCCTGTCTCTTGTTTCCTGGGAGCAGATGCCAAACCCTATCCGGCTCAATTCTCCTGTCAAGGAGTTGTGCAGAGCCAGAAGGTCCTCCCTGAGCCTTCTTTTCTCAATGCTGAGACCCCTCAGCTTCCTCAGCCACTCCTGGTGCTCCAGCCCCTTCCCCAGCTCTGTTCCCTTCTCTGGAAATGCTCCAGGACCTCACTGTCTTTCTTGTGAGAAGCTCAAAACTGATCCCAGGATTTGAGGTGTGGCCTCAGCAGTGCCGACTTGGCATTCCAGTCTGGCATGTCCCGGACACTCATATCCACATTCCAATCACATATTTACCAGTATCTGACATACTCTTTCCCCAGGTTCCAGGCTCCAAGCCTTTCCAGTGACTCCAGCCTCCCTGGCATGGCCCCCACACTCACCTTGGCCAGGTCCAGTGGGGTTTTCACCTCCTCCCCACGAGCACTGGGCTCGGTATATGCCAGCGTCTCCTGCTTGTTCCGCCCTTTGCGTTTCCCCTTCTTCCCTTGGTCCCCAGCCCGTGGCACTTCTGAAGCCTCTGGAAGTGTGAGCAAACACATAGGCTGGGTAAGTGCCAGCAGGAGAAAGATGTCCCTGGACTCTACTTCATGACTGAAAATGGGCTTTAAACTGTCCCAACAATCAGGAATGGGACCAGTATCCATACAGGGATTCATGGCATGGAATTGTTTGCAACCACAATAACCAAGTTTATTTGAGAGTTTCCACTCTGCATCACTCACCGTCCTTTTTCCAATATGCTGGGAAAGGCTCAGAGGGCAGCTGGGCAGATTTTCTCCACCTGGTCAGCAGTTCTTCCACAAACCAGCTCTTCTTCCCGTCGGTGCCCTGAACAAGGTCAACAACGTACTCCCGGATCTCATCCTCGTTTGTGATTGACAAGATGTACCTACAAGGGGCCGGAGTGGATAAAAATGGGTGAGGGGGCAGATGTTCCGAGGTCTAATCCAGTGGTCTCATCGCACAGGTGTGTCATTTATCTTTCCTTTTCGGATAAGATTTCTGTGAAGATCGTGTTAAGAGCATGGCAGGAGGTGGAACGATATGACCTTTAAGATCCCTACCAACTAAGAGCAATCTGTGGTTCTGTAACCCCCCCATCCTCCCGCCAACAATCCCCGCCACTTCCCCTCCCCAAATCTTCACCGGTGCGACAAATCCCGACAGCTGCTCAGACACATCCTGTTTCCTCCGTGCTGGACCGAGGAGCCCCTGCAAGAGGGCAGGAGGGCACCGCCTGGCCCCGACCCCGCTCACCTCACCACGTCCTCGCCCACGTCCAGTCCGAAGTCCCCGCGCAGGTGTTGGACGCACCAGGCCAGGAGCGCGCTGGGCGCCGCCATCTTCCGCGAGGGACGGGAAACGGCGCCGCACCGGCGGACACCCTCCCCTTCCCTTCCCCTCCGGAACGCGGCCGCGGAGCGACCGTTCCGGGACCGGTTCAGAGTGTCAGGAAAATTAATCTACAAACACCAGAGGTTTATGTCCAAAAAGGAGACGGAGGAGTCCTTTTACTTTTTCCGAATAAAGGGAGAGGCCATGGGGCATTCCCCTGGCATTTCTCAAATTTTTAGAGGATGCAGCCTCCCTTTTTATCCCAATTTCCCGGCCGCATTTCCTTCTCTCTTTCCCCATTGGCTGAGGTACATGAGAGGTGCAGACTTCCTGGAACTCCTGATACCTGAGATTCCCCTCTAATGTATAACTCTCCCTTTAATTTTTAATTCTTATGGAATTCATAGTCTTTCCCCATTGCTTCTTTCGTCTTTCAATATCCAATTTCATTTCTCAGCAAACCTACAGTTTGTTTGTAAAGGCAAGTATCTTTTTTCCATTCATCAATCAGTGGAATCCACCCCATTGTTTCTTTTCTCTCTAGTGCTAGTTTTATCTACCAGCAGACCCACAGCTTGTTTGTAAAGACAAATCCGTCATTCCTCTCAATAGAATCCAGGAATAGTTTGGGTTGGAAAGACCCATAAATCCCATCCCATTCCAAGCCCGTGCCATGGGCAGGGACACCTTCCACTAGACCAGGTTATTCCATGCCCCATTCAGCGTGGCCTTGAACACTTCCAGAGATGGAGCAGCCACAGACGTTCCATGTCAGGTCCTCACTCCCCTCACAGGGAATTCCTTCCCAATATCCCGCAGCCAGCAGGACCAGCAGCCTGGAGTAGGTGTTGGGGCAATGGGAGACATAAGTTAGGGGAAGCAAGTTGTGATTATTTTTTCTCCGTGGCTGTGAAGCTCTAGTTCATCTTTGAAGGGGCAAGTGACTGCTGACAAATTGACAGTGTGTCTCCCGATCTCTGTAACCTCATGGAAATTATGTTTCTCAGCAAAGTCTGGCAAAGTTTTCAGAGACCTCATCGAGGTTCCTGAAAATGGGTGGAGTAACTGGTAGTTGAAGCAAGTTCTCACTGCTCAGACGTAGCTTTGCCAGCAGAGCGAAGTTTTGGGAAAGCTTAGGAGAACACTAACAACTTATATGTGCCAGGAATTGAATGGCTTTTCCAAGTTGAAACTTCAGAGTTTAACCCATAGGCTGCACTACTGACTAAAAGGCAGCAGTATAAAATATTGTCTTACAGACACCCTGTTTTCTATAGAGAATCTTGGGTTGAACCTCCATTTTTCCACCAAATATAGTGTTATGAATGATGTTCTATTTTTTCCAATTTATCAAGCAACAAGATTAAATTTAATAGTAAGTTTTTAATAGTAACAAAATTAATACAATCAAAGTATTGGAGATGACAATTAAAGTATTGGAGATGAAACAATCAAAGTGCATATATTTAAGAATATACAAAATTTGGCAGTA